TCCAGGCCTGCAATGTGACATTAGGATCAGAGTAGAAAGGATGATAAAATAGATTCATAAGGAAAATAATCTTCTAAGAACTAATATGGCCTGGGGGGTAAAATGCACATATATCCAGTAATAAGAAATTCACATTCACATTAGCACTGCAGATACAGAATTAAAATGGAATTCCATTTTGTGATTCCATTTGCTAATCTGCAAACTAAGAAGGATTATCCCATTTTCCTGTGATTGGTCAATAAATTTAATGGTTACAGTAACTACAAAGTTCTTTTGTAAGTGACTGTTAATGAGCGGTTTGCATTTGAAAACATCACCCAGCCCTCTCTCTTTCTCTTTTCACTGCAAAAAGAACAGGAACAGCAAGGACAACGTTTAGAAACAAGGCCTAGTGTTTGTTAGAACTTGATTCCTCAGACACAGCGATGCTTTCTTATATGTTATTATATTACCATCAAGTGTATCAGGTAAGCAGATTAAGTGCTTTGTAGCCCATATATAAATATCAACATCAGGCAAGAGTCCACGGCAGTTAGGAACCTGGTTGTGGTCAGAATTGCTTAAAATACTGTCTCCCTTTTGATCACAATTGCCCTTTTGAATGTACATGCTGATCTCAAAAATTTGCAGATAAAAGAGAAATAGCAAAAGAGGGCTAACCCAAGATCCTAATCACCTCTAAAACTATTATGGCTGAGAGGTAGAGAGCTTCATAACTCAATCTTCTGCTTCTAGGTGATGTCAGAGAAATACTTTAACATCAAGATCACCAACAAATACTACACCACTTTCCAGTAACAAAATTTCAGCTTAGAGTGACTATATCTTATTTATCTTTGTATCTTCAGCATTTAGCATGTACTCATTTGCTGAATGAAGGGAAAACCCTCATCTGAACAAAGATAAATTTCGACTAAAGTTGACTAGAATAAAATCTTTATTGGCTCCACTTGAAATTACATAAACTCCACTCCTCTACATACTTGACAACTTAATGTTCCTTATTTCATTTCTTTAAATATCTTAAGTTGCTTATTTACACAATAAAAACAATATCCAATGTCAAAAGACATACTTCTCTAGTTTAGAACTATTGGAATTAGTTTCAGAAGAGCTCATTTAATTGAACTTGATATTAGATGTTTCTCAGATTATTCTGTAGCATCTCCCAATTATGCATGAATCTTGCAATACCCTTAAGTAGTCGATCAGTTCCTGTGGTCTTTATTTAAGACCCAAAGAGAGAAGATGGAAGCAGATTGAGATAAAAATAATTTTGTATATGTTCATGTAGTGGATACATTTAAGACATAAAGATGAGACAGAAAGGGCACTTCCGCAGCCAAGTCTGTGACCTGCATTAATTTAGTTCACTTCTCTGAGCCTTGATTTTCTAATCTCTGAGATCCTAGAATCCTTCCAGTTCCTTGTGCTCCAATGTTTTACAGTTTGGTTCTGATTTAACAGATACACAACCTGAAGCACTAATACATTTTGCTGGGGTTGGTCAGTCCTTAGAAGCCACTTCTTATTCCACATCCATACTGGGGCAGAATCTCACAGAGAGCTGGACTCTAAAAAGGCCCAAGTGAAATCCTCATTTTTGTCTGGAGCAATGCCTATATGTGGCTTAAATGGTGTCTAGGTTTACATGCCATAAAGCATATTTTTCCAACACTGCACACTAGAATCACCTGGGAAATTTTATTTTATGGTGCCTGACTCCCACACCCAGACTCTACTGAATTGGCTTAGATGCAGCCTGGGCATCAGATTTTTAATAAGCTCTCCAGGTAATTCTAACCTGAGAAAATGTGGACAATTTTTGGCATTGATAAGTGCTTCTTAAACTTTAGCTGAATCAGTCACCTGGAGAGATTATTAAGGCACAGATTGCTGGATGCCCTACGCAGATTCTATCAGTAGGTCTGAGATAATGCCCAAGAATTTGCATTTCTAGGAAGTTCCCAGATAATGCAGATCTTTTAACCAGAGACCTCACTTTGACAACCACTGCCAGTGAGGAAATATCGATGGTGGCACCTGAAGTCCTGAGTTAAATCCTGGTTCTGTTATAACCACCTATGTAATCTTAGGAGAGTAATTTTATTCTCTTTTCTTTAGTGTCTTTACAACAATACTTAGATCTCAGAGTTGTGAGGCATGAATAGTGCTACCAGTCAGGATTCAGTACAGTGCCTGGCACAGAATGCAGTAACAAATATTAGTTTCCCTTTTCCATTATATGTGGCTAGATGATGTGACTAATTAAATCAACCACACAGATTAACACTTGCAGGAAAAGGAAACAGATGGTTGAAGCAAACAATGTCTTATTAGGATTATATGTATAATATGGAATGATAAGTATAGAGAAGTACTGTATTTTAAGTACATGGTCTTAAGTACATTTTACAAATGCTTACATTCATTTTTTAAAACTTTGAGCACAATAACTTAGGTGGTAGGAATAATTAGATATAATCTATAAAGTGACAGGAACATTAGATTCAATTTATAAAGAGCATGGATTTTTTTTTTTTTAATGACCTGCAATGGACTCTGATATATTATCTATGATATTTTAGTCTTCTAGAGAATCAGAAACAAAAATATAGCATACCTGCTTAAAATATGAATATATTGATCATTAAATGCCATTTAAATCCAAGGAAAACCTAAATTATTAAAGTGCATCAGAATCCCTATTATCAACCAAAGCAAAACTTCCACCAATGACGGGATAGGTGTTCTCTTTATTTACATATATCAACAAATAAAAAACTAAAAACAGCTTTCCTTCCTGCTTGCCATTTCACTTTGTTTGGGTATGTATGTCTCAGGGCCTCTCGAGTTGATGTCCAAACCCTGAGGTGAACCGTGGGAGTCAAGCAGGCCCACTGCATAGCCTGCACAAGCCTCCAGATACAGGGAGGGCCCCAGAGGCTGTGCCTCCACAGTAGGGTGGGTTGAGGTGAGAACTGGAATACTGTCAGTGTATCTCTGTGGAGTACAAATGCAATGGTCTAAGTGAGTCTCAAAGGTACTGAACAGGTCAGGTGTAAAGGCATAGTCATATCAGGATTTTTTAAAGCAAGTTTCTCCCTATAGGAATACTAGACCCAGAGGTAAGGTCATACTGGGATTTTTGTTTTCAAAAGACTTCTATTTCCACTCTGGCCTCATGTCATTATGTGACAGCCTTCTTTGTCTGAATACCTTAAAAAAGATGTGATGGCTGTCTGCACCTCTCTCTTGATGCATTGTGTTGTGAACAGTACCATTTCTTTTATTATTGTTTTCAACTGTTACTTAACCTGATAATATATACTTTTAACTTCTCATCTACTAATGACTTGTCCTGACTAGACCATGAGCTTGTCAAGGGTCCTTGACTTGTCCCCTTCCTTCATGGAACTTTCTCAAGTGTCTCAATTATCAGTAACCATTCCCTCTTGCTGTTTGCAATATAAATTTGACACCAATTTACATTGCCCTGACTATGCAGCTAACTCTACTTTTATGTATATAAGTGCTCTCTTCCCAACTGGAACCAAAAAAAACCCTTTAGGATGAAGGATATATGTATTTTATTTCTTTGTAAAAGTGTCTTAACAAAGCTGATGTTCAATCAACATTTGTAAAATACTTGCTAGATTATCTGTGCTAAGAAACAGACACAACTGATTGCCTGAGGGGAAGTCCTCATACTCTTGTCAAGATTGTATGCATAAGGCCTATAGTCTAGCTGGTATATTTGGAAGATGGAAATGATTTTCTTAAAGCCAGAAAGTTAGCCTTGGTTCAGCTCTCCTTAGTGCTTCAAAACACTCTTCAATATCACATAATAAACAGGACGGTTCCCACCTCATTATTAACCTTAGTATTCCCCAGCATCTATTCATCTGTATCCTTCTCTTAAGGTTTCCCTATGAAGCTTCCCTCCCCCCACCAAAACCAATAACTCTTTTCTTCTCCTTCCCTATAAAATGGTTCATTCATTAAAAGCTGTAACCAGTGTTTAGAGTCTTAAAAATCAAAACAAAACAAAACAAAAAACTATCAATCCAAACCCTCTAAACTGAACTGATCAGAAGCAAAGCTGGTTTCATGCCCATCGTGCCAAGGTGCAGTTCCTTCTCTCAGATGTTGGCTGTTTCTAGAAACCAGAAAAGACTGGTTGATAGCCTGAGGGTTCGGGTACCACCTTGGAGGCACTATCATTTTTATTTTTGGAGTTTTTTCATTGGGTTGGTTTGGCCCCATCACTACAGCTCTAACCAGTCATTCCAGCTGATACCTTAATACGACTGTGAGGTATCAAAAAAATTACAAGGGTAGACTAGAGATTGGTAAGATTTATCTTTAAATCTCAAAGGTGTTTTGAACAAGATTGACTTGTGCAAAGCTGGATTATGGCATTTTACTACTTCACCTTAACTGTTATGAGAAGAAATAAGAATTCTAAGATTTTAAATTAGTTGCTTCAGTTTTCTTTCCTCTTTCTTTTTTATTAATGACTCAGATTGGGTATCCTGTCAGGCTCACACTCTCACACCCTCCATTGAGACCATCCTTGATATCAGAAACCTAGAAGCCAGAGCAGCTTTCTACCTCTTTAACTCTCCATAGGCATCACTATTATACTGTCATTTATGCATCTATCTGTACACACACGTGTGTGTGTGTGTGTGTGTGTGTGTAAAAAGTGAAAATGGTCTCCTCATTATATTGTTTGATATAGGCACCCAAGTATATAGTTAGAAAGTAAATAAAGGCCACAAAAACTTCCCAAGGAAGATCATTAAAAAGGAAAATGCTCTCTTCCTCTTGTATCACACAGCTGGCCTTTGAGGCATGCCAGCTAAGAAAATAGGTATTAGCCACGGTGACAGGAAGACTGGACCTTTCCCTCTTTGGGTTGTAGCTGAACTTCTATTGGCAGTCCTAGTAAAATATGTAACTCCTCGTTTGTTCTAAGCAGGTCTTTTTTCAGCTTTCCTTCAAACAATGCCTTTACTCTCCCATCAGAATACGAGGACTTGGAGATTTTCAACAGCAAGGTTCTGGTTGGGAAGCAGTCTCTTTAAATCATCTGTGAGCTATGTAGAGAGAGGGAAGGATATCGGAGAATGGCAGGGGAGGAGGATGACAGAAAGGAAGAAATGGTATCTTCATCAGGAGCACCAGAGGAAAGCAAGCTTTTCAAAGTTGTTGCCGGTATCTCATGAAGGTCCAGGCTGCTACCATGGTAAGGGCAAACAGTGGCACCAGCACCATAGCTAGAGGAATACTGCTCGGCTCCCCTTCACCTCGATGTCCTATAGGCCCATTTTGCGCCTGTAACTGGAAGGGAAAGAAAAATGTCAACTCTAGTGACCAATGTGTGCTGACCACAACTGAAATGTCTAGGTTGATACATTACGTAGGTCTGTAGTCTCTAGACCACCTAAAGCTGCAAACCCAAGTTCTATCTAGCAGAGGTGTCCTCTGCTTGATACATCGATGTCACTGATTCTTTGGAAACAAAATGATGGGGAGGCATTTGACTTTGCTATGCTACCCCGGAAGGTAAGTCAGATAACCTCTTTGTGCTTTTGTACTGCCTCCACCAAGCTATATGTATATCATATCAGGAAATAAAGATATGAGATGAAGTCTATTGATCCTATAGGAAACCTAAAAATTATTGAAGAAGGAGGGATGCAGGGATAATTTAAATGTTATTTAAATTATCTGTTATCTAGCCTGGCTGGTGTGGCTCAGTGGATTGAGCATCATCCCATGGACTGAGAAGTCCCAGTTCCATTCCTGGTCGGGGCACATTCCTGGGTTGTGGGCTCAATCCCCAGTAGGAGGCATGCGGGAGGCAGCCAATCAATGTTTTTCTCTCACATTGATGTTTCTATCTCTCCCTTCCTTTCTCTCTAAAAAAATCAATAAACACATACTTAATAAATAAATAAATAATCTATTATCTAAGCATAAACTGAACACAGGTGTAATGCCATTATCCGGAAATACTTTCCAATTCTCAAAAGGCACCCACTCCCCCCTATGATGGAGTGGTGTCCTTCATCCTCTATTTTGTAACACTGGACACAGATAAAGGTGAAACCTGTATGGAATGGAGGTCAACAAAATCAGAGCTAAATAAGTAAAAAGAAATCACATCCAATCATCAGTCTAAGAGAGAATAACTTTAAAGACACACTGAACTAGTGTTGCAAATGCCCCCAAAATCCTTGCTATGGGATGAATTATGTCTACAGATTTATCTTCCCATCATTCAAATTATAAGACAGTAGGAACTAAGAAGTGGATACAGGGATAGATGCTGCCTTGACTGAATTCTGAATTCCATTTCAGTTTACCTGGAGCTCACCTTTGAGCATCAGAGCTTTAGTCAAGAGTCATCAAGTTGATACCTTTATAAAGGTTCATGGAGGTAATCGGGAAAAGCACATAGTGAATGGGTATGAGAAAACCCACCATATTCGTACTTAGGAGTTTTATAAACAAAGAATGTTCAATGTCAGACACATGTTTTCCTTCCCTACTAAGAAACTGATTGTGGTTGTATTTTCCCCCCATTTATTTCAATTTGGTTTTCCAGCTTTATCTTTAAGGCACATTACATTGAAGCTAGGACCTGGGTTCCAAAAACATTGTTATGAATTTCCTTTAATGATAAGCAGAGTTCCAGGAGACCCTGCCAGACAAGCTCTTCAAAAGAGTGGGAGCAAGCCCTGGCCGGTTTTCTCAATGGTTAGAGCGTTGGCCTGTGGACCAGAGAGGCCAGGTTCGGTTCCCGCTAAGGACACATATCTCGATTGGAGTTTGTCTCCAGCCCCGGTCGGGGTCGTGTGGGTAGCAGCCAGTCTATGTGTCTCTCTCATGTCGATGTTTCTCTCTCTCTCTCTCTCTCTTTCTCCCGCTCTCCCTCCCACTCTACCTGAAGACAAATGAAAAAAAATGTCCTTGGGTAAGGATAAAAAAATAAAAAAAGAGTGGGAGTAAAATGGAAAAAAGCCAAACATACCACTGAAGATTACACCATGGGGTTTATTCACAAGAATGGTACAAAAGCCTGGTGCCAGGTTGCTGGCTGCAAATGACATGACACCTACCCTGTGCTGCACTCTCAGGGAAACGGCATAGCCCGCATTACGAAAGAGGTTTACAGCATCCTGGTGTAGCAGATTCTTTAGGTCTTGGCCATTTACCTGTCAAAAACAGCAAGAAAAAGTAGTAAGAGGAGAATGTAAACTCTCTGAAGTCAAAGGTTTACTTTCATGTGACCAAACATTTAAAAAACAAACTCCTACAGAGCAAATCTCAAGGGTTAGGAGAATGAGTAAAGTCACTAAGAACCCAGTGTAACTTTTTTCTTTTTCATAGCTATGTTTTCCTAAAACTGAGGTCTATTGGGTCATTTGAAGAGCACTTTTTAAAACAAAGGTAGTCTCTCTTCATTTTAGTTCCTATAGCCTGCCTCATTTGGACACCTGAGATTCTTTACTGTATTTGTACATCTTCCATGAGCATCAGCCTCGCTTCCTATAGCTAACACGGTCTTCAATATTATTGCATTGCCAGCTTGAACTCTAGAAATATAATTATATGAAATTCTCCCAGTTTATTTTGATGGGCAGCTCTACTAGCCCATTCTATTGGTCTTGTTCTATTGTGAACAATTTCCCTTGATTCCCTTATCCTCAAATTTCCTGAAAAACATGTTTCTGTGATGATGCAAATTCCTAAAAAATGTTTCAGTGTAGCCCTGGCTAATTTGGCTCAGCGGTTAGAACGTTGGCCTGCGGTCCAGAGAGACCTGGGTTCAGTTCCCGCTAAGGGCACGTACCTCGGATGCAGTTTGTCCCCGGCCCAGCCCAGGTTGGGTCGTACGGGTGGCAACCACTTGTGTCCCTTTCACGCCGATGTTTCTCTCTCTCTCTCCCCCTCCCACTCTATCTGAACAAAAAATGGAAAAATGTCCTTGGGTGAGGATAAAAAAAAAATGTTTCAGTGTAGGTCATTCCTACCACTCAGAGGTGAGAGATGTGAAGAACTACTGGTATTAATACTTTTTAGTGTCAGGAGTGACGGGCCACAATGATATCTATCCTGTGCTGCAATCATGACACAGCATAGCCCACTTTATGTGATATCTATGTATCTTTTATACATGTCAGTGTCATCAACAGCAACAGCAACAAAAACATCTAATATATTTACTTGGTAGGCTCTGTGCTATATGCTTTATGTTATGAATTATCTATTCTAATTCTTGCAATAAGCCTATGAGGTAGACAGTACTTTTATCTTGTTTTCACAGATGAAACTGAAGCTTAGCAAGGTTAGGTCATTTAACCAAAGGCATAGTAAGTGTCTGAGCTAGGGTCATGTTTTTTAAATACCAGAAGGGAGATCAAAGTACCCTGTGTTTTACTTTTCCTTCGGCACTATTCCCCCACTTTGACTCACCAACTATTCTCTGCTCAGCTGAAGCTCAAGTCATTGACTTATTCATCCCTCTCTTCTTCCTTGTCACAGTGTTCCTTCTCCTAGAGGTTCATAATAGTCCTTCTACTCTATCTCCTGCCAATATCCTTGGTGAATTCATCTACCAACAGTTTGGCCTTTCCAAATTAATAGTTTCTAGCTCTATTCCATATTAGTCACCAACTGGCATAAGCCTTGGACTTCAACATTAGGCAGTGAATTCTAATCACCAAATCCTATAGCCCCTTTCAATCTTTAGACCACCTCTTCCATCTTGCAATTCTCTCCTATCTTAGTTATGAATACTTAGCTTCCTTAGTTCTTGAACTATTCCTTTCCTAATTCTTTTTCTTCTTCCTTTTTTTTCTATTTTTATTATTTTTGTTACAGATGTTTCTCTTCCCCATTGGTTATACATATACGTTCTTTGCTTTATCTCATCCATCCCCCCCCCCCCCCCCGAGGTTTGTCAGTCTGAACCATACTCCTTTCTATGTCTCTTAGTCAGTCCACCTTGTTCATTATACTCCACAAATAAGTGAGATCATGTGGTATTTGTTCTTCGCTGATTGGCTTATTTCACTTCTTTCTTTCTTAAGGTAAATAAATATTCCTCAGTGTCAGTTGTCTTTGTCCTCTTATCTTTTCTCCCATGTGATCTTTCACAATTTCAACTGTAATCTGTAAGACAACTCCCAAATTTGTATCCCTACTTCTCTTTCTGGATTTACCTATTTCCTGCTGGTACCTGTACTTGGATATTCTGCTAAACCACAATTTAACACTTCCAAAGTCTCTTTATTACTTCCCAAAAGCAGACTATCCCAACTTCCTTCTTATTGTCATTACCATCCCTTCAGACTGAAATTTCAATACTGTTTTAAACTCTTTCCATTCTGTCAATCTTCTCATACAATATACTGCCAAATCCTGTAGTCTAACATAATGACATTCCTCATGTGCTATTATTTTCTTTCTATTACCTCTCTCTTTAGGTTGTGGATACTTTTAGTTGAACTACTATAATCACCTTCTCTCTGATTTACTTTCCTCTAGTCCTTGCCTATACTTCCCTATTCAAACACTATGTCTCCAAATCAATCTTTCTGCAGTACAATTCTGTTTATACCATTTTATGGCTCAAAAACAAAACAGAAGTAGGAGCAGGGGAGGAAAGAGTGCATGCCTGGTTTCTCATTCTGATATGCAAAGTCCTCCAGGAAATGGCTGGAACCTACCTTTCCAATTGAATCTCTCATTATTCTCTTTCACATAACCTATGCTCTAGCTAAACAGCATAACTCATTGACCCTGAGACAAAAAAAAAACCCCCACACACCATATATTCTTAGTTTCATACCTGTGCTTAAGCTATATCCACCATCTGAATACCCTTTCCTTTTAAAAAATTCTATTTATCTTCCAAGATTGATCTTAAATAGGATCAGTCCTGGCACCCACAGTGTAGAAATAAATGCAAGATTTTCTAATTGATGGAGTTTGATTTCATGCTGCCAAGCCATGTTCTGATAATGTCTTTTTTTTTTTTTTTTTTTTTGGTAGATAGGCCACAGGGAAAACACTTCGTGATTTCTCAATTGAATCATTCTCAATGACGCAGTTTTTTAGTTAATTTCTGGGGAGAGAATAAGTGAGATTGCTGATTGTAGTGAGAATACTCACTTAACTAATTTCGTCCATGTGATAACTGTATTTCTCATTTAAAGAAAAACATCATAGCTGATTATCAGAGCCAAGTTTGATATTAATATGAATGCAAGTGAGAGAACTATATGACATTCCATGGCAAGAATACTGAGTTCAGCCCTGGTCAGGTGGCTCAGTTGGTTGGAGCATTGTCCTGTACACCAAAAGGTTGCAATTCAATTCCCAGCCAGGGCACATACCTAGGTTGTGGGTTCGATCCCCAGGGGTGGGGTGTGTACGGGAGGCAACTAATTGATGTTTCTCTCCCATGTCAACGTTTCTCTCTCTCACTCTCTCTTCTAAAAAAATCAATAAAAACAAATCCTCAGGTGAGGATTAAAAAAAAAAAAAACTGAGTTCAAAATAATCTTCGCCATAGTATGTAATAATTGCAGGGAATCACTGCATATCTATTATCATCTCTGGAGCTGTCCATTCATTGTACATGTATAAACTTAGTCAGTCTTCACAATAGTCCCATAAGTTAGGAGTCCCCATTTTATTGATAAAACCAGAGAGGCTATGCAACTTGTGCATGGGCATATATAATGGGAGCAGCAAAGCCAGGATTCAAACTCAAGTTGCCCAGCCCCAAAACTTTCACTTTAAAACACTAAACTATAGAAATTTTCTATAAAACTATATACTGTAAACAAGGACTTTATTTCAGTAACATGTCACCATCCATCACAATAATGCTGTAAAATGAAGGTTGATTTTGTAGTTTCGTTTGTGTCTGATATGTAAACACATTGAAAAATTTTAGAATTGTATAAAAATATAAGGTGTTTATATATTAATATTTTTATTCATTTATATATATTGAAGTAGCATTAAAAATTTTAAAGGAATTTAGTTAACTGCCACTTCACTGACAAGACCTTCCTAGATGTGACTGATTTGCTCCTTTGAATCTCCATACTATGTAACCATCTTAAAGTTCAAACTAAACTCTGCCTTATATCTTATCACTTTGTGTTCTACTGTAAATAACTTCAGAGGTTGTATCTCAACTCATCATTATAACCCCTATAATACCTGAATAGTGCAGTGAATAACACTTGAGTATAATAAATGTCACACAATTTCCTGAGGTGTGGTTGCAGAGTACACCCTGCAAAAGCCATAACTACATGAAGCCTGACTGACATATTCTCAATATTATACAAAGCTGAATGGCCTATGCTCTATTAGTAGCTTCACCCATCAGTGACTTTGTGTATATGTAATTTTGGTACTCTGCTGAGTCTCCTTCTGCTAACAGGGAAGAAGATATTGGTGACACCAGGCAAAACAAGGTGCTATAAAGGGCATAGGCAAATTATGCTAATTATGCCTTTTGACCCTCCTAGTTAAGCCTAAAGGTATTCTAATATAAGAGGACTTTAACGCTAATGAAACCCCAAACAAGAGGTCTTTTAGAAATGCAAAGGAAATTTCTTTTTTAAAGTACCATTTCTCATCCTTTGCCCTGGGTAAACCAGTCCCATAAAACAAATTATGATTCTTTCACTCTTGACAATGTCATCTCTACTCTAAAGACAAATTTTCTTTCTAATATTTACTCCCTCTAAGCATTTTTACAGATTCCAGCTCATATTGATTAACCACAAAGTTCTGAAAGCTTTACCCCTGAATACATGTGATATTGCCCTGGCTGATTTGGCTCAGTAGTTAGAGCGATGGCCCTCGGACCAAAGAGCCATGGGTTCGATTCCTGGCAAGGGCATATATCTCAGCTGTGGTTTGAACCCCCAGCCCTGGTTGGAGTCGTGTGGGAGGCAAATAATCGGTGTGTCTCTCTCACATCAATGTTTCTCTCTCTCAAGTCGATGTTTCTCTCTCTCTCTCTCTCAAGTTGTGTTTCTCTCTCTTTCTCCTTCTCTCGCTCCCTCCCTCCCACTCTATCTGAAAAATATCCTCGGGTAAGGATTAAAACAAAAATGGAAAAAAAATATATATGTGATATCCACTTTCTTTATCACCATCTTTGTTAATATAGACCAGGGGGTTA